GGCCTGGCATGGCTTGACCGAACCAGACACAACAATTCGCGTGAGCGTCTCGAGCAGCAAAGCATGTCGAAGGAACGGCGCGAGTGCCAAGACGCCAGCATTGCCGATCCCGTTGATTGAAACACCGAGGTGCTCGTAGCGTGGCAGAAGAAGCGCGAGCAAAAGGCAGTGGGTCGGCAAGAGGCGCAAGTTGGTCAAGCGCAACGTCGTGAGTCGAGTTAGACGCGGCAGGCCGTATTCGAGAAAGCGCTGGATACCCCGACGCTCGGGGCCATGGGGGGACTTTGTGTCCGAGTCACACACGTCAACTATACTACTAACGTTTCTACTAGTAGTGTGCAAGTGCAGCGCCACGAGCGGGCAGCTGCTGAGCACGCGCACAATATCGCCCACGTCGGAAGGGTGAAGGCCTGGAGCTCGAGGTGAGCCAGGTGGCGCGACCACATTCCGCAGGCGTCGGTTGAAACCCAAGTCTTGGGAGCTGCGAGGGACACAGCGATATGGTTTCGCCCAGACACGTTGCGTGAGCGAGAGGACGTCCAAGGTCTTGAGCGTCAATACCGTGAGTGGCACTGCGTCGATCCATGCGGCAAGCGTCGCAGCTACCGTCTCTGGTAAGCGTATCTTGTCCGTTGCACACAAGACGAGCTTGGTTACATGTTGCATCGACTCGAGCAGGTCCACGACGCGGTGTATCGCCCGTCCGACGGCGAGAGGCAGACGTCGATCGATTGGACCGACGTCGCAGTGGCTAGGAGCACTTGCTGGACGTTCACCAACGCAGCCGGGCCCGTGGTCCATGCTGTAACCGTGAACGGGAGGTGGCGAAGCGTCAGCCGCGCGCGCGGTGGCGGGACGACCACTGGCACGTTGGATCGAGCGGGCCCCAATGTGAAGCACAGCCGCGAGTTTACGCCGAGGAGCTGGGCGAGTACGTTGTCGGCATTGACAAGCTGCATGAGCGCACATATATTGAGCGTGGGTCAAATAACGTCGAGCCACTGCGTGGCGATGAGCTGCAGTGCTGGCGTGCGCGCTGCTCGGGTAGTGCATCGAGAAACACCGTCATGCCGTCGACAAGGCAGGACCGTCGCAACGGCCTCGAGCAGCTCGGCCGACAGCAGCACCGCGTTGGATGAGAGGCGGCGCGGACGCATGTTTCGCGCATTGCTGGTGCGCTCGGTCGCCATGCTAGTACTGTTGCCTTATCCCAGTTACCGGATATGGATCTGTTGCAATCCGGTTACGAATCACACGTGGCAGCACGGCTGTGCGGCAGGCGTGTCAGGAATCAGCATCGTCAAACAATCCATCGAGTCCGAGCAACAAACACCACGGATTCGATAGACGGTATCGTTAATGTTGTTTGCGTCTATGAAATAGTTATCGATTCTTGGATAGCGTGGTTTGGATAGTAGGAGCAAGATAAGCTGTTTGCCACCAGAAAGTGTTCCGACTCCCATGTCCGGCTAGGCTGCAAAATGCGCTCAAGATAAGCTCCGCTATCGACTAGCAAGCGGTGAAGAGGTCTGTATTTGCCCCTATATATGCACCATTTATGTTCGCAAACGTAGAATTAATTATATATCAAAGGGCTTCAAGGCTCTAAATGCAAGATATTCATGTTTCCTCCTTAGTCAGATTTCATCAAAGAGACCGGGCGGTGGACCCAACGATCTCGGCAACTCGCACAGTAGTCGCCACTCCGCGAAACCTGTCAAAGCCGGGTGTTGATAGCTCGGTTCTGACGCAGCGTCGTCATTGATCGTGCACGACCGGTGCTGTGGTAACCACGCTCGTATCGTATCCAGTTGGCTGCGCGGTGCGCCAAACGTCAATGCACCTGTCGCGTCCAAGCGTCGACGTTTGGTGCAGTCTTGCATTCTCGGGTGCAGCCAGCCCCACAGCAGCGCTTTGATACCGGCCGCCGTCAGTGGGTTTGTCGACATGACCCACTGCGTGAGCTGTGGCGCAATACGTGCTAGCCTCTTCGCGCCGTATGGGCCAATTCCGACAAGTCGAGGGTCGTAAGAGAAGGCAGGCGCTCCAGAGCAATGACCAGCGGTGGGACGCCCGCATCCATGCAGCCTCGATTGATCAGCGCGAGTTTGACGAGATGATGCGCTGTCGGGAGGTAGCACGCCAGCGTCAAACACCCGCGATCGTACAAGCTGTTGGCAGCAAGCTCCAGGACGTTGAGGCGAGGTAGAACGTTTCGACCGAGCGCATGCATCGCAGCCGGTGACACGACGCAATGACGCAGTGACAACTCGACAAGGCGGTGCAGATGGGGCAGTACGTTGCAGATCAAGTTGTCGACGACATGACCATTTGGCGGGTCAGTTGGCTGCAACTCGGCGCTTGCGTCAAAATGGAGCGACAATGACGTCAGATGCGTGTGGTCCGCAAGCCGCTGCGTAAGACGAGTCGTCTCGGAGAGAGACACGGCCGACAAACTAATGCATTGGAGATGGCGGCCAAAGCTTCTTGGCGGCACGACCGACGCGACGACAGGCGAGTCGAGGACGGCCAATTCGACGAGGGTTGGCGACATCAAGAGATGCTGGACAAGCCACGAGAGCAAGCCGTTGGCATCAAACGAGATCTTGCTCAAGCGAACGTGCGTCATGGGCGACCGAAACAAATACTGCCCGAGGACATGCGCGCTGTCACTTGGCAGTTTAAAGAAATCGTGGGCGAGGAGCGACAACGACACAATGTGCGACGCCGCAATCGCCGCGACGAGCTGCGTGATGGACGGCCGGTACAGTTCGCTTGTCCGGGCAAAGACGATGTCGAGGGTGCGAAGCGACGGTGTGTGCGCAATCACCGCGCAAAGACTCGGCAGAATCGTCATCCGCGCCGCCGAGCACGCGCCTTCGATCGTTATGGAGAGCGCTGTGAGAGGAGGCGAGACCCATGGCAGCGGTGGCAGCGCCCATGACGACAATTGTCGCGACTCGGCCAAACGCACGCGTGGCGTGAGCGTGAGCAAGTACGCACAAGCTGTGGACAGGGCAGGGCCTCGAGGTTGGGTGCGGGCCAGACCTCGTCCGCCGACCGCGACATGGCGAGCGTCTGGAGGAGCAGCAGTGGTAGCGTCAGTCGCGTGTTGGTCATCGCATCAAGAAACGTAACAAAGTCATCGCCGCTTTCGATGCAGACAGCAACACGCTGGACGAGCTCGGGTGGCAGCATCGATATTGATTGCACTTTGGCGATGTCAAAAAAGCATGATGTGGCGGAATGATGGTCGCGTTGTATTCGCTTAGAAAGTACATTTCGAGCGCCGTCATTTTATGCAGGCGTGTATCCATTTGCGACGACGTATCCATCGACCAGTATTAATATATCGACCGAGCAATGCTGTAGCGATTTGCCCAACAATGGCACTGGACAAGGCCGCAAAGTATTCACGGTGCCAGCGTCAAAGTCGAACGATCATGGTAAGCATTGCCCTCATGATAATGTAGCGCTCGTCGACTCGTTCGCAGTATTATTACAAGTTACAGTCCTACGATACGACCCGTAAATCGCGCGTGGGGTCCGATGAGAGTACAAGGTTTTCGTACAAATAAGTGTCAACGTGTCATTCTTGCTCCGAATACGATTTTGCGTCGTCGCAATTTCGTCAGATTCTCCCTTTTGGCACTCGATCGGCGGTGCTACGAGCGCTGCCAAGCACGTTCGGTGCAACGGGAGCGCCGCAAAAAGCGCGTCGACGACCCGAGAATCTTCCTCACTTTCGATCGTACCGCAGACGTCCATGCTTGTGACCGTGCGACGCTCCACGTACGTCCACGATCGCAGAAGGAACACCACGAGACCTTTAGCACGTCGTGGGTTGCTGCACGTCGTGGGCACCCCATTAGTGTGGACGCCTCGGGCGCGGCGAGGCTGCTATCGAAGCACAGAGTTGGCCCAAGCACGCTGGTTTGCTCGTTGCTCATAATACCGCAATACTATGCTGCCACGTATGCTCGTAACCGGATCATCCGACACTTGCCAAATGCGTATCCGGCCATTTTGGATCCGGCGCAACCACATGATGACCGAGCGAACCAGCTATCCGCGGGACAAGCGTCCGCGCCGCCTCGCACCCGACGCGGTGCTGCTGTCGGCCGAGCTCCTCGAGGCAGTGGCGACGTACCTGCCCGTCGACAGCATCGCGGCGTTCCTTGCTGCACTGCCCGAGCAGCTGTGCACGTCGGCGCTGCAGCTCATCACCACGCTGTCGCACGCCCTGGGGCTCGACGTTCTTTGGCCCACGCTCGACCTGCGTACGCTCACGCAGCTTGCGAATGTCGACGATGTGCTCGCCCATCTCCTCAGCGTGAATTCGCGGCTGTGCGTCCCTTTGGCGACCGCACGGCCGACGGTGCCAGTGGTTGTCGTCACACCGCCGCGCGCATGGCCGACGCTTGGCCATCTCTCGCTCACGATTGCCACATGGACCATGGACCCGCATGTGATGGCGAACGTCCAGCAAGCGTTTTTGCTCAATGCGACATCGGTCCGTTCGATCGACGTCCGTATCGTGGCGATGCCCTTCGCGCCGTCGGACGCGCTATTCACCACACAAAGTGTGTGTCTCACTGCGCTTGTGGAGCTTCTCGCGTCGATGGCGTATGTGACCAAGCTTGTGTTGCGCGCGACGTACTTGGTACACTTTCCTGCGACGGCAGCGGCGACGCTCGCCGCATGGATCGATGCGATGCCTCTCACGTCATTGACGATGCAGAACGTGAACGTGAACGAGGTCTCGACCGCCCGACAGCTCTGGGCACACCGACGCCTCGCACTGCCCACCACTGGACGCGCCACCGGGATGTGGTCACGCCACCTGACGCACCTCGATTTCCGGTTCCTTCCGCCGTCCCAGATGAGCGCCCTGGTCCAAGCGCTCGTCAACAGCCCACTCGTGTCGTTGCACGTGCGTGGCTGGGACGTGAGACGATGTATTCCAGGCCATCCGGTTGTCCAGCGCTTTCTCGAGTACGATCTTCCGTGTCTCCGCCAGCTCACGACGTTGCGCTTGACCAAGGTCCACCTCTCGACGACCCACTGCCTCACGCTCGCGCTTCTTCTACCGCGCTACACACATCTCGCTCTCACAAACAACAAGATGGGCGACGCCGGTGTCCTTGCGCTTGCGCCCTTTCTTCGGCACACGTCGCAGCTCGAGACGCTCGCACTGGTTGACCAAGGCTTTGGTGACGTTGGCGCGTCCGCACTCACAACGGCCCTCATGCACACACCGCAGCTTCGCACGCTCAACCTCAGCCACAACGATGTCAAGTTGGGTGGTGTCATGGCGCTGAGTGGCCTCTTGCCGCATCTGGCACGGCTAGCGACGTGGCGCTTGTGCAGCAACCCGCTGGGCGCCAAAGGACTCGTATTTCTTCTGCGTGCGTGGACGTATGTGAAACTCAACACGACGACGCTGATCGACGCCCGCAGTACGGTCGGCAGCAACGACGATTCCCGGGACGTTGACGCGCTCATCTCGGCGCTGCCGCGTCACCGAACATGCTTGACGGGCACCTTGTCGCGAGATGACGAGATCGCTCGGGCCAACGCCCATCGCGCCCAACTGGACGCACATTGGGCAGCGCGCTTCGCCCAGATCTTGGAGGCTCACGTGCGAGCACCCCATGTCCGGGTGTTCCCGGTGTTCCCGGTGTGACCCGCCGCAGTGCGCTCTGCACGCAGCGTCGCAGTGTATGAGTTGCCATCATGTATATCTATATGAACGTGTTTCGCGTTATATATGAACGTGTTTCGCGTTATCTTCATATTTACACTAAGACTTCGCATACGTAGAGACTAGCAATCTCCTTCTTCTTCATTCGCTTGCCGGTCCGTGGCTCCGCAGGCGGGGGCTCGTCTTGCACTTCTGTCGTCGCCCGACGATGCATGAGTTGTCATCATATATCATCATTTGTGGCAGGTTTGTCATTGATGCATCTTGCTGGCTACACGCTCGGGGAAGCAATGACCATATCAGTGTATTGGCTTGCATGCTAGCTATATGATTGGACTCAACGCGACAGCGGTGCTGGAAGGGGTAGGGCTACCAATGCGGTTAGGGTTCATCAATGTGGCCCGCCAAGCTAGAACAAAGGATGTTTCTAACCATTTTCAGTGGCGTCTCCTTTGACTACGATGGTAGTGTGGAGAGATTGTCGCAGCGACACGAGCGGCGTGGGGGCAATGACGATACGTTGGTGGGACGTCGCTATGTGTCGGGTTGGCCACTTTCAATCGATTTTTGGCCGATCAGATCACATATCTAGATAGGAAATTGAAAAGCTGGATACGACATTTCGAAGCCCAATCCTGTATGCGTGACGCCGAGCGCACGTTGAAGGTCGCCCACGCAACGGTGCTGATGCCCTCGCGCTTCCGCATTCATCCAAGCCATTGCCATGTGCTGCAGCAACCAGGAGGACCTTTTCATATCGCAACTACAGTCGCTCGCCGTTACCAGCCTGGTCGAGACGAACGCTGCTACCGACGTCGCCGGCTTGTTGGTGACAGTGCCGGCACCCACAACGCTCGACCTTTGACACTGCGCCATCGCCTCGGCGTCTTATGGAGACGCTTGGGACTCGTATATGCGTCGTCGCTCTGTCCGGTCTCACATGAAACGAGGTTGGTTTCGCAGGGCGCCACGCATTCGCCCCTCTTGATACGGTGCAGCCCAGCGTCCGTCGAGACCTCAACACCGGTCGAGGGCATGTTGGTCTTGCCAGCGCTTCCCCGAGCGTGCCATCAGCATTGCGGTCGCCGACGTCGTATCGCAAGTTGGCCAAGATACACGATATGTAGGACTTGTGGTCTTGCTATTACTTGCCCAAGATACAAAGTGTCCAAGTCGTTTGGCTTAGCATCAGAATGGATAACCATCTCCGAAAGCCATGTCCAGTGGCCCGACGAATGCGCCCACGTCCTCTTCTTGCACTCTCCATAGATTTATTGTGGGCTCGTCTTGTATCATCGGCTCGTCCAGCCCTGCATCGCATCGTCGGTAACGCGGCAGCCCTTTGATCAGCGCGTCGACGACCCGGCGATCGTCGGTGCTGGCGATCGATCCGCGGGCGTCAATCACTCGGAGCGTGTCAACTTCTCCATACGTCCACCGACGCAGTAGAAACGCAAGGCCGCTCGCGCCCAGCGGGTTGCTGCACAAGCGCCACGTGACGAGGCGCGGCCGATCGAAAACGAAATAACTCAGCAGCTTGGCACCACGGAGCTTGATAGCGTTGCGGCTGAGGTCCAACGTGCGAAGAAGAGGTGTGTGCATGAGTGCAAACGCGAGGGCGGACGCGCCGTCGTCACCAAAGCCTTGATCTACGAGCGTGAGCGTCTCGAGCTGCAAAGCAAATGTGAGGTCGACTGCAAGCGCACGAACGCCAGCGTCGCCCAATCTGTTGGACGTCAGACGAAGATGCTTGAAGCGTGGGAGCAGCGGCGATAGCGCGAGGCAGTGGGTCGTCGAGAGATGGACGTTGGTCAAGCACAACGACGTGAGCTGGGTGAACCGCGGCAGGTCGTAGTCGAAAAAATCCTGCGTCGCGAGATCGGCTTGACGGAATAACCTGTTCGTGAGCCGCACGTCAAGCGATTGAATAGGACAATTGGCCAGCGACTTGGCCACCCGCCCCAGCTCGCGCGGGCCAAAGAGTCGTAGATCGACGTGCGTCAGTGACGGTGTAAAGCTCGCAAAGTCGTCGAATCGATAGATCACGTCGAGAGACAAGGACGTGAGCGTGGGCTTGGCCCAGAGCTGTCGGCCTGGCGAGAGCTCGTAGATGTTTTCCATGCGCAATGACGCCAGCGGTGTCGCGTCGATCCAGGCAGCGAGCGTCATCGCCTCCTGCTCTGGAAAGCGTAGCCCGTGCATGGAACGCAGCGACAGCGATGTCACATGACGCAACGAGACAAGACCTTGGACCAGCGTCGTGAGGAAGTCGTGCTGCCACTGGCTTCTCCATACCTCCGGCGCCCGATCGTGTGGCGCCGAGACATTAACCTCGATCGACTGAAGCGATGCTGCGTTAACAGCGAAGACGTGCTGCAGGCACGCGAGCACACGCGGATCGTCGGTCCAATCCGTAATCTCGAGGCAAAGGCGGTGCAGCGTCGGCCGCACGCGCGGTGGCGTCGCGACTGAAGGTATGGTGGACAGAGCCGTCGGTGCACTCACGCAGAGGGTGTGGCTTGTCGTCAAGAGCTGGTCAAGGATGCAGTATGCGTTCTCGAGCTGCGCGAGCGCTTCGAGGTCGTGACCAAGTGAGAACACATGGGGCCCGACGGCCTGCGTCAAGGTCGCGACGAGCTGGAGCGCTGGTGTGCGCAGCTGCTCGGGCAGCGCGTTTGCTAGCACCGCCATGTCCTTGGACGGCAGGAAGCTCACGATGGCCTGGAGGAGCTCGGGCGACATCTGCAGCATGGTGGGCGAGGCAGGGCGCCAAGCGGCTCCTTGCACAAGGTCGTCAACTTCCGGATATGTTCGGCATTTCAGCGAATCAGATGCAATCTGCATTTCAGCCAATAGGATGGCGGTGTGATCCCGTAAGAGCTGTGCGCTCGTGTGCATGTGGCTTGTCCAGTCCTTTCTTGTTAGTTTGCGCGAGGCTCGATGCCAGGCTATGTACAAGTACGTATCCAATGGCAGTGCGGGTGCGTTGGCGTGTACCATCGTCGTCGGAAGTGAGCGCTTCGATCGCATTAAATAATCGTCGTCTCATGTCGCCACGTCATTGTATCACCTGATCACGCAGGGTCATGCAGGTCGAGATGCCAGTATAGGACCATTTGGTGATAGCACGACGCCAACAGACCAAAACGGACGAGGCACGACAGTTGTTCGAGTTGCGGTGGACCGAGTGCAGTCGCGAGGTCCTGGAACGTCGTGGTGTCGACGACGCGTAGGTGTGCACACTCCCATTGAGATGCTCAAGTCCGTCGACAGACGTCGGTCATTTAAGTGATCGGGGCCGACGACATTATCCATCGAGAGCTCGTAGAGGGTCGTGTCGACTTGCAGCGCGTCGCAGAAGGCCGGCACCGAGTACGAAATCTATCCATTGTCATTGATGAGTGCATTATTTCGTTTAACCGGATATGTCGAAAGTGCTACTATTGGCTTGGCGTACGGACCGGCTGCTTCGCCTCACATCATGGTTGTGTGGTGGGGGTGTGGGGGGTGGTGCCAGCATTTCTGCGGACTCTGGTGATGAAACCTATCCAACTCGTCCTATTGTTCAAGCTCGTTTCAATCACCTCGATGACGGGCAGCAGCGTCACACGGGTGGCCTTGGTTGGACATTCGTATGTTTGTCCGTCGACATCGGGAATGCCCTCTCTATCTATCGATCTATCAACGTATCCGAACAAACGGGACAACAAGTGCACGGTACCTCGGTGAGGTGCCGAGGCGAGGACATGGGATAGAGTGTAAGAGTGTGGCAGTAGATGCCACAAAGAGTCGTATATGACATAGCGTGGGAGTATTGCTTTGCTGGACTTTCTAATCCCGATACCACAAATAACACTTGTGCAAATGTTGCAAACCGCGCAGAACGGCTATTCGTCGTTCGAGTCTACTCTACGAAGTGAGGTATGAACTCGAACCATGGCGTCGCTTGGCGCATGACACGGTCATCTCGTAGCGGTGCTTCAGCCATCAATTCGGCCATATTGTTTCTCTTGATCTCGATCGCCGGCGCTTCCAGCGCTGCCAAGCACGTCCGGTGCGACGGCAGCGCTGCGATCAACGCGTCAACGACCCGAGAATCGTCCTCACTGCCGACCGTACTGCGGGCGTCGATCAATGTCGTCGTGTCGAGTTCCACGTACGTCCACGCACGCAGAAGAAAGACGAGACCTTTGGCCCCCAGCGGGTTGCTGCACAAGCGCCACGTCGCCAGTCGTGACAGTTGCGGCAACAGGCCACTCAGCGCCAAGACACCACCCAACTTGATATTGTTGCGGCTGAGGTTGAGCATACAAAGGCGCGGCGTATGCGTCAGCGCCGACGCGCCAGCGTCACCAAAACCTTGGTCGACCAGCGTGAGAGTCTCGACTAGCGACGCATGTCGAAGAAAGGGCGTAAGAGCAAGGACACCGGTGTCGCCCAGCTTGTTGGTTGTGAGAGCGAGGTGTTTGAAGCGTGGTAGAAGAAGCGCAAGCGTGAGGCAGTGAGTCGTCGAGAGATGGATGTTGGTCAAGTGCAACGTCGTGAGCTGGGCGAACCGCGGCAGGTCGATTTCAAAAAAACCTTGCGTCGCTAGCTCGTCTTGACGGGACGTGTTATTCATGAGCCGCACGTGCAGCGATTTTATCGGACTATTGGCCAGCGTTGTGGCCATGTCCTTTAGTTGGCGTGCATCAAAGAGTTGTAGATCGACATATGTCAACGAGTGCGCAAAGGTCGCACTGTCGTCAAGTCGAAAAATCGGATCGAGAGACAAGGACGTGAGCGTGGGCTTGGCCCAGAGCTGTCGGCCTGGCGAGAGCTCGTTGATGTTTTCCATGCGCAATGACGTCAGCGGTGTCTCGTCGATCCAGGCAGCGAGAGCTGTCGCCTCCTGCTCTGGAAAGCGTAGCCCATGCACGGAACGCAGCGACAGAGACGCCACATGACGCAACGAGACAAGACCTTGGACCAGCGTCGTGAGGAAGCCGTGCTGCCACTGGCTTCTCCATACCTGCGGCGCCCGATCGTGTGGCGCCGAGACATGAACCTCGATCGACTGAAGCGATGCTGCGTTAACAGCGAAGACGTGCTGCAGGCACGCGAGCACACGCGAATCGTCGGTCCAGTCCGTAATCTCGAGGCAAAGGCGGTGCAGCGTCGGCCGCACGCGCGGTGGCGTCGCGACTGAAGGTATGGTGGACAGAGCCGTCGGTGCACTCACGCAGAGGGTGTGGCTTGTCGTCAAGAGCTGGTCAAGGATGCAGTATGCGTTCTCGAGCTGCGCGAGCGCTTCGAGGTCGTGGCCACGTGAGAACACATGGGGCCCGACTGCCTGCGTCAAGGTCGCGACGAGCTGGAGCGCTGGCGTGCGCAGCTGCTCGGGTGCTCGGGCAGCGCGTTTGCTAGCACCGCCATGTCCTTGGACGGCAGGAAGCTCACGATGGCCTGGAGGAGCTCGGGCGACACCTGCAGCATGGTGGTGTCGATCGTGATGTGGCGACGGAGGATCGACTGTCCCAAGCGGCTTCTTGCACAAGGTTGTCAGGCTCTGGGTGGCAGCCAATTCGATGTGCTTATTTTTTCAGCGAATCGCACGCACGATTGATACTTTTTCAGCCAATCAAAAAACGTCCAATGCCGGTCATATCAACAAGGGTCTCGTCATATCAGTCAAAAGAAATTTGTCAAAAGAAATTTTCTTGTGTCTGATAATTTTCGGGCACCCCAGTACAATGTGCGGGAAACTCGAAGATACCCCGTAGTCTCAAGAGACGCTGGGACTTCGTTATGACGGCTGCACGCCGTGCCGGAGGACGTGCATCTGCCTCAACTACGCTACAACGAAGTGACATTGCATTGGGTGCAGCAAGATACATGCAGTCGTTGGGGTTTTGTCATTTACCGAAGTATGCAGTAAGAGCTACATATTGATACGAGATAATGTAATATGCACAACGTCTCGTACAGGACAACTTGTGCCCAAATATTGTCGAATGGCATCCCAGCTACATGTCCTCATTCTCGTCAAGGACTTGTTGCGGTGCCATAAGGATTGCGAGCTGGACCGGGCGACGTAAAATCGGTGTCTCGGCATACGCAATCGTCTGGTGTTCGCCTTCGGTTGTGGGTGTCTCAGTAGCTACCAAGCATGTTCGGTGACGCGGCAGCGCTGCGATCAGCGCGTCAACATCCCGGGAATCGTCGTTGTTGTCGATCGTACTGCGGGCGTCGATCAACATTGTCGTGTTGAGCTCCACATACGTCCACGCACGCAGAAGAAATACGAGTCCTTTGGCGCCCAGTGGGTTGTTGGACAAGCGCCACGTTGCCAGTCGTGGGAGATACGGAAAGAGATGACTCAGTGCCACAACACCACTCATCTTGATTTCGTTGCGGCCAAGGTCCAGCGTGTGAAGAAGAGGCGTGTGCTTCAGCGCAGTTGCGAGTGCGGACGCACCAACGTCACCAAAGCCTTGGCCAACCAGTTTGAGCGTCTCGAGCTGCGATGTGTGCCGAAGAAAGGGCGCAAGAGCAAGGACACCGGCGTCGCCCAGCTTGTTGGACGTGAGGGCGACGTGCTTGTAGCGTGGCAGAAGAAGCGCGAGCGTGAGGCAGTGGGTCGTCGAAAGATGCACGCTGGTCAAGCGCAAGGTTGTGAGCTGATGGAGGCTTGGAAGGTGGGTTTCGAGAAAGCGCTGGACATCTTGACCGCCCTTGATCGTGTCTCCGTCCTCGAGACGGAAATGCAGCGACGTGAGAGGACAGTCGATGAGCCTTTCGGCCACGTAGTACAACTGGTACGGTCCGAAGAGGCGGAGGTCAATGTGCGTGAGCCAGCGGGAAAAGGCCGCCCTGTGGTTGAAGCGAAATAGCGGGTCGAGGGCAAGCGACACGAGCGTTGGCTTCGCCCAGACACTCTGCGTGGACGAGAGCTCGTACATGTTGTTCATTGTCAGTGACGTAAGCGGCGTCGTGTCAATCCACGCAGCGAGCGATGCAGCTGCCGCGTCGGGGAAGCGCAGCTTGTGTGTGGCACGCAGCGTGAGCTTCTCGATGCGCTGCAACGCCACGAGGAGGCCCACAAGCATCTCGAGAAGAGCGTTTTGCGCGGGCTTTAGTTCGTCCCACTCTCGAACGTACGGTGCCGAAAAATGGACCTCGATTGACCGGAGGGACGCTGCATTGAACGTGAGCACTTGCTGGACGGTCGTGAGCACCGCAGGGTCCATGGCCCATGCTGCAAATGTGAGCGAAAGGTGGCCTAGCATCGGCCACGGGCGTGACGGTGGCGCAAGAACTGGTGGCATGTTGGGCAGTGCGGTCGGCGTGGTCGCTCGAAGCGTTGGGTGCACGCTAAGAAGCTGCGCGAGAATGTTCTTGGCATTAGCGAGCTGTGTGAGCACGCCAAGGTCGAGGCCGGGCCAAATCGCGTCGGATCCGAGAACGTGGGCTAGCATCGCGACGAGTCGGAGCGCGGGTGTGCGAAGCTGGTCGGGCAGTGCGCGAAGGAACGTCATGTAGTCCTCGGACGCCAAGTACGGTGCAATTGCCTCGAGATTCTCGGGCGACAGCAGATTCGTGTCGGGCGTGAGGCGGCGCCGGCGCGTGCCATCGTCGTGTCGCGCGCTGTGCATCGCAAAATCCAAACTGCAAAGTCGTTTCATGGTACCAACAGTCATGAACCAGATGTCTTTCTTTGTCTTTGAGCCAATGGGAGCATCCAAAGGTCAGTTTTCCCGCCAAAAAAACACCCACCAAGAGTTCCCGCCAAAACTTCATTCCTCGCCACGTGGCAGGACAACCAGATGCGCACCTTGAAATTCTGGGGATCCCCACACAATCACCAGACCAAGACCAGCGCTGAAAGCAGTGAGTTGT